CAAGACAACTCCATTTCTCCCTACACCCACTCCCAAGCAGTGGACCCTTCCACTGCTCCCAGCATGCTTTGCTGCAGACATGGAGTTGCTGACGCTGGAGGAAAATACGTCACAGGAAACTGCCCCCCCCCCCCCCCCCCCCCACAGATACCCACGGTGCTGTTATAACAACAACCACAGCAGCTGAGACCGTGTTTTCAACTAAACCGTCAAATTCAAAACACTGAGTTTTTTTATTAAAACGTTGACATTTCTCCACTCGACGCTTCCGTTTCGTTAATTAACGTTAACATTAACTCAGAGACTGGTTGTAATAACTGAAAACACTTTTCTGACATTTCCATCGAGTTGCTGTGATGCCTTCAGGGACCGAGGCTGTGACGGTGCTGTGGTTTTCACACACATTTGAAACATGTTTAAATGTTTTTGAGTAGAAACAACACAGACAGGATCAAAGACCGTCGGTTGTTAAACGTCATCGGGTTCATGAGTTCAACACAGACAGACAAAAAAATAACGGACTTCAAGTTCAAACTCACCGCTTTGATTTTCCCTTCTCGAAGGATCAAGTTTTCAACAAAATCAACTTCCGGTCGACGACGGCTCCTCCTCTCCCCGAGTGAAGTCCGTGAATCAAATCTGTTTCTGACCTCCGTGAGAAAAAGAAAAGAAAACAAGTCCCAGATACATCTGACGATCAGCCGCTCCCTCCGACCGGAAACAGTCCAACACACACACACACAAATACGTACCAGTTCCGGTCATGACCGTCAACATAAAAGTACACTAAACAAACGCAACACAACATCATGTAAGCTTGCAGCGCCCTCTGCTGACTGAGAGACCGGCTTTGAGTGGAGACCAGACGTTGGTCAAGTCACACGTTTGAACGACTGACAGTTAGACTTTCCTCCAAAACCTGAACTAAAATCTCTGATTTTCTCCATGGGCTTTGGTCTAAACTAAAATCTCTGATTTTCTCCATGGGCTTTGGTCTGAACTAAAATCTCTGATTTTCTCCATGGGCTTTGGTCTAAACTAAAATCTCTGATTTTCTCCATGGGCTTTGGTCTGAACTAAAATCTCTGATTTTCTCCATGGGCTTTGGTCTAAACTAAAATCTCTGATTTTCTCCAAGGACTTTGGTCTGAGCTAAAATCTCTGATTTTCTCCATGGACTTTGGTCTGAACTAAAATCTCTGTTTTTCTCCATGGACTTTGGTCCGTGGACTTAGACTCGGTGATGACTCGGTGATGTCATCCAGCTTCTTCAGGTACGCTGATGATGATGTCAGGATTGACACCTGAAGACAAGTCGGACCAGCTCTGGACGCTCAGCATCCATGCGCACACACAAACACACAAACACACACACACACACCCTGCTGCACACAGCCTCAGACATCGAGACTCGGTGACGGAGCTGCTCCTGGTGCCGGTCTTTACGGACCAGGCAGATGTGGATCTTCAGGTGCAGAGCAACCCGTGGTTCCTGGACCGTCCTCCTGGACTCAGAGATCAGCTGTCATGCGGTAGGGAAGCCGCGGGTTCTGGGTCACGACCGCCCTGAAGACGGCGCCGGTGCCATGAGACCGAGGAGCGCTGGGAGTCTGCTGACGGTCCTGGTCCTGGTCCTGGTCCTGGTGTCGCTGCTTCAGTCCCAGGCTGGTGGGTCCACTGGAACAGGTTCACAAAAAACAGGATGAATTCTTTGGATTCTCAAACTTTAGTGGTTCTCAAACTCTGGTGAATGGACCAACGGTGGCCCGTCAGCGGTGTCTTGTGGTCCACTGGGACGTCGTGGATCACTGATGGATAGAAGCCAAATATCTGCATCAGTTCAATATAGAAACTATAGTATTATTTTAATCATAATCAGATTGCTGCCCTCTTGTGGTTGTATCATTTACCTGAGCGTTACTGTTCATTTTATCCGTCTGTTCCAGCAGCTGAGGTCGGAACGCTGCCGGCCCCCAGCGGAGTCTCCATCCAGTCCATAGACATGAGACACACACTGTGGTGGCGCCCCCTGGAGGTCACGTGCGACGCCGGGATCCTGTACTCAGTGCAGTTTCAGGGGTGAGTCACATGATGTCTTTTGACTCACTAACCAGCTAACGCTAACTCTAACTAACCCACTGACTTTGAAGGAACCCACAAAATGACAATCTTTCCGACCTGCTAACGTAACGACCTCGATGAGTCGTAAAAGAGTCGTAGAATTGAGTTCAAACTTTTCAAGCATCTGGAGGAGCTGAAGGAATCCCACCTCACCTGTTCCTTTGGTGGCTTCAAACACACGCTCACATTTCAGGTTTTGGAAGTTTAGCTGAACCTGGACTGGAAACACAATCACAGAATCACTGATTTATGAAGGAACCGAAAATAGTTCACGATTTTAGTTCAGACCAAAGCCCATGGAGAAAATCAAAGATTTTAGTTCAGACCAAAGTCCATGGAGAAAATCAGAGATTTTAGTTCAGACCAAAGTACATGGAGAAAATCAGAGATTTTAGTTCAGACCAAAGTCCATGGAGAAAATCAAAGATTTTAGTTCAGACCAAAGCCCATGGAGAAAATCAAAGATTTTAGTTCAGACCAAAGTACATGGAGAAAATCAGAGATTTTAGTTCAGACCAAAGTCCATGGAGAAAAACAGAGATTTTAGTTCAGACCAAAGTCCATGGAGAAAAACAGAGATTTTAGTTCAGACCAAAGTTCATGGAGAAAATCAGAGATTTTAGTTCAGTCCTTCAGACTTTGTAGCAGCTGAACAAATGTTTGGTCCTGACCCAGTTACACGCCTTCTTTTAATGAGGATAATCAGCAGGTGTGTCTCCTCTGACACTAATGAAACCCTGAGAACAAAGTTTCAGTCGTTTGAAAAGCCGGCGTTTCCTTCTCTTTTCTCTCTCTCTCTGTGTGAACAGAGAGTTTGAGTTGACCTTCTTGAACGGCCGTTGGTTGGACGCCACCGAGTGTCAGCTGACTCCTCGTACACACTGCGACCTGAGTTTGGACCTGGGGTCTGACTCCGACTACAACCTGCGGGTCAGGGCCCAGTGTGGGTCCCATCTGTCGGACTGGGTGGTTCTGGACCAACCCTTCAACCGCAAACACAGTAAGAGGCTGAACGTGTGTTTTCACACACAGCCACCGCGTCACGTCTCCTAGCAACAGCAACTCCTTCCTCTTGTTCGCAGCCGTCCTGACGATGCCGACCATCACGGTGTCAGTGGAGGGCCACGCCCTCAAGGTGGCGTTCGACAAACTTCCTGCTACTGCTGTCGTGATACTAACAATGTGGAGGAGCGACGGGGAACTGAAGGTCAGATGATGTCACTTCCTGTTTGCACCAAAACACACAGAGAAAATCACTTCAAATATGTTACTTTGGACCTTTCCTCCTCAGTGACACAAACTGACCACAGGGGGCAGCAGAGGACCAGCTAAATCACAGCTTTTCTTTACGAACATTCTGGATGACGTGATGATGTTTTTTGTGTTTTGTTTTTATTCTAAACGTTTCTACCTCTGTGTCCAGACCGACGTTCACTCAGTTTCAGCCCAGCAGGCAGGGCACACTTTCACCGCCCTGCAGGTCGGAGCGGAGTACTGCGTCAGAGCTCAGACTGTGCTGGAGAACCAGCTGCAGAACAGCAGCACTGACGTGCACTGTCGGATTATACCAGGTACACACACACACACACACACACACACACACAC